GCCACGTCCATGCCGATGACAACCTGTTCAGTGTAGCCAGCCTTTCCAATTGCGTTCTTCAGCAGCTCCAGAGCTTCTTTGTTCTCCAGGATGTTAGGCGCAAACCCGCCCTCGTCACCCACATTGGTGGCATCCTTCCCATATTTCTCCTTGATGACATTCTTCAGGTTGTGATAAACCTCTGCCCCAATGCGCATGGCTTCGCGGAAACTGGACGCCCCCACAGGGAGGATCTTGAACTCCTGCATGGCCAGCTTGTTGCCAGCGTGAGACCCGCCGTTGATCACATTGAAAGCTGGGACTGGCAGGATGACTTCAGCGTTGCCAGCCAAGTCAGCAATGTGGCGGTAGAGGGGCACCCCCTTTTCTGCAGCACCAGCTTTGCAGACAGCCAGGGACACTCCCAGGATGGCATTGGCACCGAATTTGGATTTATTCTCGGTGCCGTCCATCTCGATCATCAGCTTGTCGATCTTCTCCTGCTCCACCACATTCAGTTTCTTGCTAACCAGAGCAGGTGCGATAGTTTTATTGATGTGCTCAACAGCCTTTGAGACACCCTTCCCCAAGTAGCGGGTCTTATCATTGTCACGGAGTTCCAGGGCTTCATAGATGCCAGTGGAGGCACCGCTGGGCACGGCAGCCCGGAAGAGACCTTTTGAGGTGTAGAGATCAACCTCAACAGTGGGATTCCCACGGGAGTCAAAGATCTCTCGGGCGTGGACCTTCAGAATAGACATGGCTTGTTTCTGGCAGTCGGCGTGGCGCAGAGGAAGAGCACAGAGGTTCCTGCACACACCCTGGAGAGCGTTCCTGGGTTTTTTCTCTTAACAACAGGCTTGGAATTAGAGAGGGACTGAGCCAGAGTCCAATTCCAAAACCAGCTCTATATACTTATGAATATAATAAACACAAATATAATAAACATTACTTATGGAACCAATTCTATTTTCTTGGTGGTCCGTATTGGGTAGTAATTTTCCATTGGTCAGTATTCAAATATTTAGGGTCCCTTGAATTTTTTTGAAGATGAGTGTTTTCCTGCAAAGACAAGAATAGAACCCTGCCCCCATCCTATATGTTTTTCATATGACCTGTATAATTATTATCACTGTGGATGAGCTGTTATGTCTACTTTTCAAGAGATGTCTCCTCTTCAAACCGAACCCTTATTAATTTTGATGGTATCCACATTTTTTTCTTCTCCTGTGGAATCAAGACCAAAACCCCTTCCTCAATGCAGCACATCTCCTGGCTTCCATTGTGAGGTTAGCACATCCATGAAATAAACCAGTTAATTTAATTCATCAGACTTTTTCATTATCTAATGTCTTTCTGCTGTTGTTGTTCCTTTCTCATTAGCATTAAGAAAATTCAAGGTTAATAAGGCATTATGTAATCTATTTCTTGGGGCATTTTCTACCCCTTTCTTTCTGTTTATTTAACATATCCTATAGTTTGATTTGATTTTTCTATGACTGTTTGACCTGTAGGATTGTATGGTATACATGCTTAATATTATAATAAGCAAAAAATTTTCATTTTTCTAGAGACATAAGCTTGACCATTATCTGTTTTGATTTGTCCAGGCATACCCATGACAGCCATAATTTCTAATAAATGTGTGATTACTGAATCAGCTTTTTCTGAGCTTAAAATGGTCAAAAGATACTTAAGGACATGTTCAACTCCCTTAGCTATCAGGCAAATGCAAATCAAAACAACTTTGAGATATCATCTTACACCTATCAGAATGGCTAAAATCAAAAACACCAATGATAGCCTATGCTGGAGAGGTTGTGGAGAAAGGGGTACACTTATCCATTGCTGGTGGGAAGGCAAATTTGTGCAACCACTTTGGAAATCAGTGTGGCAGTTTCTCAGAAAAGTGGGAGTCAACCTACCTCAGGATACAGCAATATCACTCTTGGGAATATACCCAAGAAATGTCCAATCATACGACAGAAACATTTGTTCAACTATGTTCATAACAACATTATTTGTAATAGCCAGAACGTGGAAACAAGCTAGATGACCCTCAATGGAAGTTTGGATAAAGAAAGTGTGGCACATCTACACATTAGAGTACTACTAAGTGGTAAAACACAATGACAACTTGAATTTTGCATGCAAATGGATGGAAATAGGAAAACTATCCTGAGTGAGATAACCCAGACCCCAAAATATGAATATGGTATATACTCACTCATTAGTGGATTCTAACCATAAACAAAGGACATTGAGTTTGTGATCCTATAGAAGCTAAGTAATAAGGTGAACCCAAAGAAACAC